CTTTTGGGGAACCCCAGCACAAAGTGCCTCCGAGGGGCAGATGCATTCCCGCTGTGAGGTACAGGGGAGTGCTGCCGAGTTCGGTGGAAGCCACGTGAGCCATGGGATTGGTTTCTTGCTTATGGGAAAGGATACAGGGTTGTCACTTCCAAGTGTTTCTCATATTGTTGTTGAAATAATATTGGCTTTACCTGCTTTTCTGGAGCACTTGGTATTAATACTTTCCAGGTTGTTAGGATATGATCATTCTTCTTTGGATATGTAAGACAAATGCATGTTAAACCCAATCAGTTTTAATGAGACCTCTGCCTGTAGATCATGTCTCAATGAATCTTGGTTATTACAATAAATGCTTTGGAGGGACAGACATTTTTAATTTGTAAAAATTTATACCATGGATTGAATACCATGGATTGAATCTTGGCTTTGTCTAAGCTGATGGGAAAACTTATATCCTTCCAAAGGAGCCATGTGTTGGATCCCTATTTTATAGAGATCAGTTCTTCTTTACTCCTCAGTGCAGATTTTTGTGGCACTCGTCTCCAGGGTATCTCAACCTTCTTTTAAAGCTGAAATGGGAAGTTAGTCATGAGATCTGTGGTGGTTACAAGCCAGATGTTCGTTTTGGTTTTTTTTTCTTACTTTGCAAGTGGGAGGACAGAAGGCAGTTTCTTCAGTATGTTCATTCTTAGTGTGCCATATCCTCGTGTGAAATGCTGTCTAGTATTCTTGTTTTATTTGAGTTTCCAAGATCCTAGAGTCATAAAGGATTTTTGCATGGTTTATCTAATTTTACATATATTTTAAAAGCCCTCTGTGTTAACATAGCACAGAAAGATTCTGCGTAGTCAAGAATAAAATAGCTGTTGCAGCAGTGTGCATAATTATAGGGCTGCTGTTTAGTCATCAGTCATGATACGTGTGGATTTTTTTGTGAATTCAACATTTATTCCATTTCAGATGTAAAAAGAATTTACCTGAAGCGTTTAGTTTGGTCAGCACAATAGGACTTGACCCATCTGAATCTATTAAAAGCTATTATAATATCAAGACTAAAGACTAACGTCCTAATCAGGGGTGTGTTTACAGGGTAGTATAGTACCATTCAATTTGGAAAAGTGTTTGGAGGACTGAGCCCAATGGTTGTGCAAAGGTATAAATGAGACATCCACGTTTAAACTAAAAAGCTACATTTTTCTGCATCAGTTTTTTTCTGCCAGGATACACACATCTGGAACAGTGGATATGCTGCCTGTTTGTAATGGGAAAATGGTTTTCTTTTTTATATATTGCTCATATTGAACTTCTGCTTGCTTTTTTTTTTCTTTTTTTTTTAATCTTCCTCGATGCTGCTGCAAATCAGCCAGAAGAAATCAGCAGCTCAGTTTGCCTGCAATTAGTTGCCAGCATCCTGTAATTCTGCTGGCTTGAAATAGTCTCATCTCCTTTACAGTAAAGTGAGCCAAGTGGGGTGGTTCTCCGTGAGCAGGAGTGTGGGTGGAAGCACTGTTTTTTGTGGCATGCTGCTCTCCATTCTGGTGCTCTTAAAATCCTCGTGCCTAAATCTGCGGGTAAAGGATTTTAGAGGAATAGAGAATGTCTTTTCAGGGTTAAAGGGTAAAAATCAGGAATTGGTCATGCTTGCATTGGTTCCTTGTATTTATCAGAAACATCTGATATGGCTTCAGATTTCCATATCTGTTTTGGATGACCAGTGGGAGATTCTGAAGTTGTAGCTACTTCTGGTGAACTAATAGCGGTTCATTCACTGTGGATTACATTTCTACTCCTTTTCTTCCTCCCCACCCTACTCTACCCCTTTTGCTTATCTCGGTACAATGCCGTTTATAACTGATATTTTGTAAGTGTGCTATGAGGCTTATGAAGAAGAAAGGAAAAAAGCAAAACATGTAGTTAGTCCTATGAATGACTCATCAAATGCATCATGAACACCTTGATTCAGAATAATTCTTTTATATTTATTCCGTTCTTGCCATTCCTTTCATAGAATGGTATGCTCTTGATCGTGATGAGTCAATTAGTTATAGTGCTGAAACCCTTGGATTTCCCATGGATAATGATTTTTCTGAAGAATTGCAAGATCTGTTCCTTAAAGCGCAACATAACTCCTGAGGACATGTTCTGGGTTTCTGAAACTTGTCCAATCCACTCAGCTCAGTACCTCTGTGACCTTTTTACATAAGCCGAAATGTTATTCCTTGGTGTATGTTTGATGTTATATGTACACCAACATGGAGCAAAACAAAAAAGAAAAGCAGATTAGAGAGTGTAAAAAGCTGGCAAAAAGCAGAACTTTGAGAACTGAAAAAATAAGTCATCTGCATGCCTGAATGTTACCCAGGCATGTGGCTTGACAAGTCTGTTACAATCCTTTGAAGAAAAAGGAACAAAACAAGGATGATCATCCCCATCAGGTGTTAGAAAAATGGATGTATGCAGAGGAAGACCGTATAATAAAGGACAAAGCAGATGGCAGCAGGAAAGCTTTGTACAGCCTTGCAAGGAGGTTTAATTTCAATGCATTGCCGAGAAGTGAATGGCTTTTCTGCTTCTTTGAAGCAACCATGTTTTCCTTGACTTCTGTGGGATCGACCTGAAAGATAGTTTCCCTATTGTCAGTAAAAGATAAGGTCTGATTGGCAGTAAAAGATTTCTACTAAGTTTTCAAGTTGTTGTATAATGTTCACACACCATGATTTGCTTTGCTTTCAGGCAGGTGAGCATCTTGTTTGATGGGTGCAAGTACAGTAACATGGACTGAAAACTAAGTAGTTTTAAATCCTATGATGGAATGATAATCACTGCCTTAAGGAGGAAGCTGTTTCTTTTTTACTTCCTTCCCCTCTGTGCTCTAATTATACTCCGGTAGCCGGCCGTCTGTATCCTCCAGGCAACAAAACAGAAGCTGGGAGTGCTTGTTTCAACAGAACCCCTCGGTGCAATAAATTGCCTGGCTCCTGGGAAGCACTGGCCACTGGCTACAACAGTGGGCGTCCTAGAGACAGTATCGTTTGTGGTCCAAGTCCATTGGTTTTACTGGAGTTACACTGGGATAAATTTAGCCCTCTCGGTAGTCCAGGCAACCCCAACCCAAGTGTAAGAATGTTTTTAAGCTATTTGAGGGCTATCACTGTGCCTGGCACAGGCTTAAGTTTAGCCGTGCTTCTTGCGAGGGATGCAAGGGCAATAGAAACTTTTAAAGTTCATTTAACGTTAGCACGAAACGTTAGTAAGATCCAGGAACTGCAACATGAAGAGGTAGGAGCTTCCAGGAAAATGGGCTAAGCTTTAATCTGTGCTTATGGATGTCACATCCCTGCCAGAGACCGGGCTCCTCTTGCTCAGGTGCTGTAACTGCAGTTGCCCTTCCGAGTGACCTGTCAAGGGAGCTGAAGGAAGTACACAAAACTAAAGTATCATTGGGTCACGGGAGTCAATGTCTAGTTTCAAACACTGTGGCAGAAATTCTGTCCCCGCAAAAGGGAAATGTAATTCCTCGCACCCAGTGGGTGGTAGTTCCGCTTTCTCCACAACGTTTAAAATCCGGAATAATAATTAGAGCCTCAGTTGCAGCACAGAGGAATTTTTTTTTTTTTTTTTTTAATGTGTTCTGCCATCCTGGTCTAGTAATTATACAGAGATGTCAGCTGGAATTGATAATGAAGGCAAAATTTGGGAATAGCAACAGGATGTGTTGCTGCTATTGATCAAAGGCTACGGGGCTGGTTTTAAACACTGCTCCTCTCTTTGATCTTTTTTTCCTATTGATTGAACACAGTAGATAAACAACCGTCTGTATAGCATGAGCTTTTATTATGGCTTTTAAGCTGACTAAGGACAGCTTTGAATTACATATGAGAGTTTAAATGGTGGTTTTCTAGTAAGTGCTGTCTATAAAGGCTTCACTTGCAGTGGCGATACAGTTTAATTTGAACATGGTGAAAGGAAATCTTAACTACAGGCATTCTTTTTCTTTCATATTCAAAAAGAAGATGAAATATTGCAAAATTGGTTACAGGAAAGGCAAAGGTTTATTGGGGTTTTTTTTAATATGTAGTTATGTATGTAGTGCTCTCAACAAACTGTATTCTCTTGTCTTGGCACTTTTCGAGACATTTATGTAAATTAGTCAAGTGTCTTAAAATGTGGATACAAATAGAACTACCAGGTGCAATCTGGTAGTTCTGCAGTCACTTCCAATGAAATTAATAGAAAACTTTCCATTGACTTTTTAATGAGTTAGATTGGACCCTGGGCTGTCATTGTTAATGTCTCGGAAAGGTCAGGATCGATTTCCTGGCATCATTTTTTTTTCTCTAAGGAGGCTCTTTGCAATTCTATGGGAGACATAGTGATATTGCTATTCCTCTTCCTTGATAATTCTCTGTCTAATTTATGTTGTTCTACCTACCATCCAAGGCTTCATGGAATAGCAGAGACAAACTGAAAAATGCAGCTTTTTGGGGAAGTTGTTCATCTCTTAAATGCTTAAAATAGTATTTCTGAGTAATGTCAAGTTTTTCTCCCCTCCCCCCACCCCAGAGTTTATTTTGAATTTTATTCTAGTACTGTACTGCCGTTATTTTTCCTTACTGATCTGGGGGTGTGTGTGTGTAAAAACAAGACTTTCCTCCAAATGGAAGCAGCCTGCCACATTGCAGTGCAGAGAACAAGTTGTGTTGCGTTCAAAGTAACACTGTTTCACCACAGTCCAGTAACACAACCTGCGCAGGGATAGTTGCACATCTCTGGGGATCGGACTCTTTGGACTCCTGCCTTTTCAAAACCACCTGAAGCCTCCGCAAAGTTTCCACCAAGCAGGCTTGTTTGTCTTGCCATGGAAAGGTTAGTTCTACCAAGTTAGTGCTGTCAGTGTACTAAAAGGTTGGTGTTAGTAATCTGTTTTGGAAGCATGCTTGGGCTGCCCTTGCAACAGGTCTGGATGAAATTGTTTCTCTGGTTTTGCTGGGTAACGCACCATGTCTTTGAAAGCGCAGGATTTTCTTGTACAAGTAAATAGTTACGCTTGAAGTACTGCAGTCCTTGAAACAGGAATATAAAATCCACCCAAAAAAAATACAAGGCTTGGAGAGAAGGGAGTGTTGGGAAGGGGACCAGGGAGCTCCATTCACAATGCTGACATCTGAAAAGGGTAATTCATGTGCTCGCTTTTCTTCTGAAATATTTGACGTGCCCCACTTGCCACTAGAGAAGACTTAATTTCACAGATTAATATTTGACTATTTCTTCAAGTGAATTATTGATATCTAGGGTCTCCTGAACTCACTGTCGTGCCTTCCTTTATTTTCAGGATACTGGGGTTGGGAAATCGAGCATTGTTTGTCGATTTGTCCAGGACCACTTTGATCACAATATTAGTCCTACTATTGGGTAAGTACCACGCATAAAATCTTTTTTCTTCTATATATTTTTTAACTCGCTGCCCTCTGCTGAGCTCCTTTCTTTTTCTTACTTTCAAGGCTCTGAATACTGTGTATCTTTTTTTCTCCAGTTCATCAATCTCACTGAACCTCCTTTAATGGCTTTCAGCTCATGCTACCTGTTTAGAGAGTCTGGGGCTGCCCCAAACCAGGTCTGCTCTGCTCTCCTTGTTCTGGGAATACAGCAGGGGCCTCAACTTAACTATATTGCAGCATAATCTGTTATGGAGAGGCTGACAGAGCTCTGCCGTTCTCCTCCTGTGAATGGTGACTCTTGAAATCGCCTCTTCTCTGTGGCTGTCCAGAACCACGCTGTACTGACTTGTGTTGGGCATAGCCATGACTTCCAGCTGCTCTGTTTTGTTTTTCTTCACCCATCTTACACCAAGAGATTCTTAGATGTCTTACTTGGCTGGTATCCTTTTCTTTTTGTCTTGTCAAGAGCTTCCCACTTTACATTGTATTTTGGTCATAGGACCTTAGGATTAAAATCACTTTAGTTCCCACTGGTCAGTGGGGTATCAAATCTGATCCTTGGAGCTTAAAGAACCAAAACCTCACAACCCAAAGAGGCTGTGATCTGCACAATGACCAGGACACCCCATGGCTGAGTAATGGCAGGAGAACCATGGGGAGGCCTTTAATGTACCTACGTTGTGTGTCCTGCCAGGCTGGGCTGGAACATGGACAATGTCTGTTCCCAGATGTGGACATCCTTTCATTTAGGTTTAGGACATGTTACATTATCCTGTCTTTCTCAAAATAGGGACAATGTAATTTAAACTAAGTATAATTAATTCACACCTGTTCTTCTTTGGAAACTGCCAAGCTTCCGTGTGTCAGACCATCAGAAGCCTATTAGTCCTGTAGTTGTCTTTAATTCCAAATTTTTTTCTTTTAACGTCTTAGGGACAAATCTGCCAAGTCCAACGTTAACCTGGAAAATTTTGAAAATTATTGATTTCTTGTGGGAAAAGAAGCTAATATGTAATGTTCACAAAGGAGTAATTTGGGTGGGAAGGGCTGATCTGGCTTGTGTGTTAGAGCTGTTTTAAATTGTCTGTGAAGGGTTGGTATTGATTGCTCTGTGTTTTTAGAGGGTTAGACAATATCTTCCAAAGCTCTGCCTTTCAATGCATGAGTCTCAGCTGGAAGTTGCATGTTGAAGTTCCAGGACAATTTTGGACTCCTGAATGTAATGAATAGAGAAAAATGGATGGAGAGAAAGGAAGCATGTAATGAGTAACATTACTGACTGAAGGACACTTACTTGCAGTGAAGGAATTGGTGGGAACTTGAGTGGTTCTTTACTTCTAAATCATCAGCAGCCTTTTCCCCAAGTAGTTGTTGTTGCTAAGTAAATGTCTTCTGCTCAAATGGAAAAAAAGAATCCCTTTAAATTTCATGATTATAATAACAGAGGGAAATTATTTTTCTATTTGAGGATTAAAATGTGAGGGCTAGCTTGCATGCAGGTGATATTACTTGTCTATATAGATAAGGTTCTTATTTTTATTTTCTTCCAAATTAATCAAACGTTTTAAATATACAATACTTGCAATCTACAGTAGCTGCTGCGGCTCTAAAGTTCCTGGTTTTGAAGCTGTAAAGTGTTGCTTAATGCTTTGAGAAGAAGAGTGACAACTGAAAGCATGCACCCTGAAAATAACCAAAGAAAATGCTGCTGCTTTTTTTTGCCTTACTTAATATTTTTATAAGCAATGCAGCATTGTTAAATTCAAGCAATTTGCAGATGGCTGTAGAGGAGAAGTCTGGTGTATCATTCTCAGGAAATGTTTTGATCAGACATATGTCATTAGATGTCATTTGGTGCTTTTCTAATGACAGTGCATTGTATCAAATGCATCTTTATGAGCCAGGAAAAAAGTTACCACAACAGAAATTGTTCAGCAGTGTCTAGATAGGATGGGGGGAGAAAAAAAATCTACCACAGTTTGGCAGTCTCTCCTAGACAGCTTTCAATTGAAATGCTGCCTATAAATTTGTAACCCTCTTTCCTAAAAGAAGAAAAATCACACTGTGAAAACATAGACAAATTGCATTTCCTCCAAAAATACAAGAAGCCACTAAGATTTCTTCATCTGAGTTGAGAGGGGGAAGAACTTTCTTCCATTTGTTCACCACGTGCATTCCAGCAGGTGACTTTTCTGTTCCCTGGTGATCCAGCCTCCTAGGTTTAACTGAAAAGTTGCACATTTGTTACCTGGTATGATGCTGGCCGATGCCTTTTTCTCAGGTCCATATCACCGAGAAGGTGGAGATAGCCAGCTAGCGGCAGAAGCTATGCGTGAGCGGCAGGCGCGTTTGTGTTCCTGGGCTCATGCACAAATGCAGTCTGAACCTCAGAGGCCTTTCCCCTCTTTTAAAATACATATATAGGTATCATATATTTTATCTGAGAAAAAGGAGACTTTCACTTCCCTAGGCATTCTATCAAGATTTTGGAGTTTCCCCATATGCAGTCTAACCCAGCAGAACTGGCTAAGATCTATAGGTTGCATATTCAGAGTGTCGGTCACGTTAGAAATTTCTGCTGCTTCCTTCTTTTCAGAGCATCCTTCATGACTAAAACTGTGCCTTGTGGGAATGAGCTTCATAAATTTCTGATCTGGGACACAGCTGGTCAGGAACGGGTGAGTATTACTTTGCAGTATGTCTTTGTTATCCTGGTCTCTTCTAATGTGTTGGCGTACTTTTTCTAAGCCTTTCATCTTCAGAAGACTTTGTAAGTATAAACCTACTGAATATTTGCAAGGCTCTGTGAAGCAGGTGGTCAGCAGTCACCATTTAACAGGGAAAAATGCAGAGGCAGGCTGACCATAACACTTGCCTACAAAACCCCAAAACCTGGTGTGAATTGTCAGCCATTTTCCTCAAGACAGCTCAGGCAGTGCCCAAGTGGTCTCCAGCTCCCCTCTGGTTTCATCAGGTTTACATGTGGCAGCTTTTGTTGGTGTTGGAAAGTACTTGGCTTCCAGCACGTGGGCTGGCGGGTGGTCTGAACTTAGGTGGTGACTCCGGGGTCGTCCTGAGTTGGGACATTGAATATGGGCACAGGGTGCGTCTGCTGTTATTATTTTGGAAATTAGCACCAGCAACCTGAACCACATAGGGTTTTCGTCTTGATTTTTCAAGTGTGTGAAGTGAATTGCTCAAATTAAGTAGCTTTTCCTTTGGCTTTTCAAAAAAGCCATAACGGAGTTTGTGGGCATTAGTTCATATTGACTGTATGTAGGCCTGGTTGGTTATTTGTTTCTTTTAATAGCCTCAATGGCAGTAGTATGCAGTAATAGGCTGTAGAGTTCTCTTAATATATGCCCACATTTATTTTGAGAAGTTTGAAAGAAATGGAGAAACCCATGCACATGTTTTAAAATATCTTCAGACTTTCTTGTGAAATTGCACTGTTCCTGTTCATAGAAAAATGTAGCTATGCTCATGTTAGGATGGGGTAAAATGAGATGCTTATACAGGCTGTAATGTCAGTCCTGATACATCCTACTGTATTCTCCGTACCTCGTATGTGAATTGCAGGCAATGAAGATTTTTGCTCTTAAGCGCAGAAAATGCTTGTGCTTTTATTTATAAATGCACAGCATGATGTAAAGTGGCCCTGATGAAATCTGTTGACTCTTAGCAATTCGGTATGTTATTTATGACGAGAAAACGGATCTTGAAAAACATATTTGAAGTATAGCATAATTCCTTCCCTTGAATCTTGTTTGTTCCATTTCTGCATGGTCTGGAGCTGATAACTGACTAATTATTGCAAGAGGTAGCAAAGGTTCAGTTTTCTTTCCCATGGTTTGAGTTTCCTTGCTTATTCTCTCTCTCTTCCCTCTGCTGCCCTGCTCTGCTTGCTTTTTTTTTTTTCCTTTTAGCTCTTTAGCACGCAAAACTCAGTTCTTGACATTTAGATATAAGTATTAATCTATTTCCCCACATAGTCTTAAGACTCTCAAAGCATTTTCTTAAAGTAGGTGAATATTAATAAAGTTGTATTTACTGAACTAAATGATGCCTCATTTGAGGCAGGAAATCTCTGACTGAGCTCTGACTCTTGGACACAAAATCCATCCTTCCCATCTCGTCCCTTATGTTTCCGCTCAGTTTTTTTTTTTAAGCTCGTCATTTTTCAAACGTCTGCTTTCCTTTTCTTTGTGTCCAACAATGATGAGCAGTGACCACCACAAACCTTGTTAAATTGCTCACAATCTATTACAGATAAGTTATGTTACAGGTTTTCATGTGTAATCGTGAATTATAACCTCTTTAGGCCAGGGACCATCTTTCTCTTCTGTGTTTGCACAGTGTATTCCCAATCCTTCACTAGGACTCTAGGAAACTGGGTGATACAGTAAACGAAGTTGATGGGTGTTGAGTGCTAACTACTGAGGCAGACAAGTTTCCCAAGGTGATGTCCATACTGTTTCAGGTCGTTCTCTGTCCTAGAACATCCCCGTTTTACAGCTAAACACATGATGCTTCTCAATAGCTTATTCATTTTAATTTGTAACTGGGATTCTGGTTACTTTGTCTTGTGTTGCTCCTTCTGATCTGCTATTCAAGAACAAATGTCTCCCCCGTTAATTTCTTTCTCGTTGTCCTCTGAACAACAGTGATGACCCAAAGCTTCCAGCCCACCCCAACCTCTGGGCCTGTTGCTATTTTTCATAGTGTACTAATAAATGTCTTCCGAGTGGTGTTTCTGCTTTGAGAGCTGTTGTCCTTCCCTTGTTCTTTGTGATTTTTGTTGAGGTTTTATCTGCCACTGCTGAAGTCTGGAAGTTTCGTCAATGCCCCTATTGTCTATACTGCTGATAGCAGTGTTTAGGACTTCCTCCTCTTTCAACATTGCCTTTGTTTGGCTTTGTTCTCCTAAACGCAAGGCCAAGCACAGGACTTGGAGTTGGGGTGCTCTGTGCTTCCCCAGCTGTGCCAGCTGTTGCTGTGTCTATGTGCTGATGTGGAGCCTTCACAGCAGACGATCCCCAGGTGAGATTTAACTGAAGCCGTACTCATGAAAGTTAAGCTTGAACCTTAACCATGGTAGAGCGGGCAAGCGGAAACAACTGCAGCAGCACTTCTGTGCTCCTCGTTCATGAGTTTCTCCTTTTTCATGAATTTTCTCCTCCTTTTTCATGAGTGTCTCTGGGCAACAAACTGCCAGCTTGGAGAGTGTAGGGCAACCACTCTTAAATATCTTAGTCACAAGCCCTTACTTAAGCAATGCTCTGTGAGAACCAGTGTGCCTTCTGGCTGCCTTCCATCAGCTGAGCGAAACTGGAAATTCATGTGGCTGCTTCTGAAAAGGAGCCGTGTCCTGGGTGCTCAGAGAAGCCAGCTGGAAGCACTCAGCACCCCCTTGAGGCATTAAATCAACTTTCACATAGCCACTTGTAACGTTGCAAGCCTTCAGAAGTGCTGGTCATTGCTGGGTTTAAAAGCTTGTAGGAACAGCTGAGTTAGTTGAAGAACCTTAATATACAGGCCAGCCAGTCAGAGGTTGGTCATGGAGAACAGATAACTCCTGATTCATATGGATAATAGATATAACATTTTATTTCTTTTGTGTCAGGAAACTCGGAACTGTAGGCAGAGTAGAGAAGAACCAGAATTGCCATTTTGTGGGAAATAACGAGCAAACATCACTTCTGCAGAATGACAATAATGCAGCAGAAAATGGAGATCAAAAGTGTTTCTATCATAGCCTTGGTGGGAGCGAATGCTCAGCGTGCTTCCCAGAGGAGACCCTGGGGAGGGGTATGTGGCTCTCCAGCAGCTCTCGCTGTGGAAAATTCACGTTGTACTTGATTACAAAAGGAGAGAGCTTCTTAATCCTTTTATCTTGTTTTTTCTTTTCCCTTTTTTGGGTAGGGAGAACCTTAAACTGGCAGCACACTTAACAAAATCCCCCTACTTTTCTGTGCCTAAGTACTGGTCTCTGCAGACCCAGTTGCTTTGTGTTGGTGTGCTATCAGACAAGCTTGCTTTATTCTGGTTCTCAGAGTCACTTTCCCTCCACCCCACTATTTTCCAAATGTCACTTTTTTCCCTATCTCACTTCTTCCCCATCAGCTTTAAATTGTTGCCGTGGACTTCAGGACTTAAATGCACGACAATTATGTTATTGTTAGCAAAGATTCCCTCCCCTAAGAAAAGTCTCTTCACAAGTTAGTTAATGATGTTTTTATTAGCATATATTTTGGTTCATGGTGTCCTAAGTAGGTTCTAATTACAATGCTTTGTCTGAATACCTTGGGTGGCTGCCAGCTTTCCATTTTGCCAGCTGAGGAATATTGTAGCAAATAGTTAGGGAGCCTGAGGGCCATGTTTCTAGGGCAGGAAAATTTATCTCTGTCCTTTTTAAATTTACTGTGTTGAACTCTGGGATTTTTAATTTTGTTTAATAGAAGGAGCCTCAATTACTGGAGCCCAATTTAAACCTTGATAGGAATTACCCTGCATTGTGGGCTTTTTTTTTTTTAAACTGCTCCATTTCCAGGAAAAGGCTGACTGATGAGATATCTGCAGCGCTTTATAGCCCCCTCTTTTCTGAGTGACAGTAGTTGTCCTGGTGATTCAGAGACAGTGTCACAAGGTAGGGGGTGAAAATGCTCCTTGAGAGGAGGACTTGTCCTTGCCACAGTCTTGACTGGGACGTTTCCCCTAAGCTGAGCAACTTAATCACTGAGCTTATGGATGCTTCCTCTGAAACCAGACTATCCTGAGAGGAGTTTACACCAACTATCAAGGACTTGAATTACTTCCGCAGTCAAGACGTGGCCTGGATTTTGCTCTACAGTTTTATATAGGTGACCCTGATGGCAGCCCACAGCTCAGTCAGTGTGGAGGTGGTTCCTTGTGTGTGGTGTAAGGACCTCCCTGCAGTGAGATACTGCTTGCGTGCTGCAAAGGTCAACAGGTGATTTGGCAGTACATGCGTTTGTGAGAGCACAAGTGGCACTAGAGCTAGTAAGTGAATATGTTATTTTTACTATTTTTAGAATGAGCGTAAAGCATGGTAAATCATTTGAGATGCATGTGGATGTGTTTTTTCTTAAGTTTCAAGAAACTTGAGGCGTGTGTAGCTTGACAGTGAGACGCGGTTTAGGTGTAGTCTCTTTTGTATCCTTTGTTTAATGACTGAGCTTCAGAAGGGCTAAGCACAGGTCACTTCTGTGATGTTGCAAACATTTGTTTTCTGCTTATTTAAAATATCTTCAAAAGATTATCCTAAAATACTGGAATTTTTCCCTCTTCAAGAATTCTAACGTATTTGAGAAAAATGCTCTTTTTTTTAATATATATATATATATCTTCTTCAATTTAACTAGCAAAAAATACCTGTAGGTCAGAGACAGACAGATCTTTCCTGATTTATTCAGCTTGCAAATCCTGAGAAATGGAATCTCAGCCTTCAATCATGTAGGAAAAACTACTCAAGGTTATAAAATGCTAAATGGTATCTGATAGTGGCTTTCGTGCACAACATTTTTCCATTCGCTCTTTGCCAGCTGAGAATGTCAGGAATTTTGTATCCCTCCCTGTGCCGCTTCTTGTGTTAGGATAATCTCTTTGATGCTTCTGGTTTTTGCCTTTGCTTCTCTCCACACCCTGATTCTCTGTTTGT